CGTTTGTTCGAGCAATTCCAATCCCAGCCGTGACGATGATTCCTCGCCGTCTGGCGAGGAGTTGTATCCCAACAGAAGTTCGCAGTCCTTGTGGATTTGCCGACACCTCGCCAGGATCGTGAAGAAGCGTTCATCAAGCGGTTCCGCGGAACTGGTCAGGATATTTAGGTCTTGATTGGAGATAAGGAAGTGGTTAGAGAATGCAGTCAGGAGTGAATGTTTCATTTCGACATCTCGTTTGCGCGTCATGAGAGTGGAGAATTCTTCGAGTGTGGGTGCTGACTCTTGTTTCGCCGCCAGGATATGTGTGCGTATCGAGTCGCAAGTGGTGTTGAGGGTTGCGAGCAAGGTCCCGACGCGTTTGAGTTGCTGTGATTGTATTAGAGGAATGGTTCGAGCTGTTCAATTGTTGGGAACAGCTGATTAGAGCCACAGAGACACATACCTCCGCAACCACGCCGAAATCATCCACGATCTTCGCGTTGGAATCAATCACCTCCTTCTGTGCGTTGGCCTTCAAGCTCCTCCTTGTCTCCTCATTATTTTGAACGCCTCGCTCGTCGAGGAGTCGCAACGCATCGCGGGTTTCGTAGTCGGCGTAACTGACCGAGAGGACGCTGGTGAGTTTTGCGGTCAGAGCAGTCGAACGCTTGGAGGAAGGAAGACCATCAGCACCGACACTGCCCGGGGTGATGGGACTGTCGAGCCCACTGGTGACGGTGAGGCCATCGAGGCTGGTGAGAAAGGGTGTGGCCATGAATCAGAAGTGAAGGAAATGTGCCCGTTGCATTTGTCTAATTGCTTTGCTGGACCTTACAGGACAAGGCTGTGAGAGAAAGGGCCAACGCCGCTTTTGGAAGATGGTGATGGTGGGGTCATTTTCAATAAAAGCAGCGGCTTTAGGAGGGGCTAGCAGAGGCCCAGCGGGGCGTTGTGTTAATACTTCAAATCCCGTCAAAACGTCCCTCTTACTCTTGAGGCAGGCCGAGTGTTGGTTCCGCAATCATCTCAGCATCCGTTTGCTTCTCGCTCTATCTAAGCCTCAAGGCGTCCCCGTGCGCTTGACTCTGCGGGATTCCCCTTGGTTCTTGAAACCGCCACCACTGCAATCCATACGAATCCTTCTATCTCGTAAGGCATTTCAGTCCATCTATTTACATCTGCGAGATAAGCCACTTCACACCCCCAATCAAGTTGCCCACAAACTGCTGCCCCTCGGGAACAGAAGGGAAGATCCAGAAATAGTGAGGCATTCCCTTGTAGTGATCATGTTTCGTGGGGACGCCAGCCTGCTTCAAAGACGCCTCCATCACATAGGCATCGTCTCTCAGGGGATCCTTTTCACAACTAACCAGGTATGTGGGTGGGAAATTCGCATGATTCTCCTTGGCCAGAGCAACGAAGGTATCGCTGTCCTTGGGGTCAGCCTCTGCGTGCTCGTAGAAAATCTGCATTGACTTCTTGTCGATAATGGGGACCCCCTCCTTGTTCTCTTCATATGCTTTGAAAATATCCTTGTACTCTTCGGGAACATGATCCCAGTGCAGCGTACAAGGCACAATGGCGGCGATACCCTTGATCCCATCTCGCTTCGAGGGGTCTTTGACCAGACGATTGGCGATTTGCAGGGCCAGTGCACCACCGGCGGAGCCGCCAATAGTGTAGAATTTGTTTGGGTCACCTCCGTAGGAGGCGGCGTTTTGTCGCGCCTAAACCGAGGTTAGTAACCATGGCTGCTGTGTAATGGGCGTCTGGCTAAGTTGCTCACCCATTTGTACACGGTCAAACAGTCCTGAAGCTGCGTGGGGACCTTGTACTCAGGGGCAAGTCGATAATCCACACTAATAATAATGGAGGGAACAGCTTCGGCGACGATTCGGCAGAGCAGATCATCTGAGTTGAGGTCGCCAGTCATCCATCCTCCTCCATGTGTCCAGATGGCGACAGGAAGGGGGCCTGACTTGGCCGCTTCCTTTGGTGTATATAGGCGATACTTGATTCCCTCAACTTCGCCATCTTTGCTCTCGACGGCCTCTGATGGGGGAGGTAGCTGAGGAAGAAGCATCGCCACCAGTTGATCATATTGGGCTCGAATTTCTTCTGGGGTCCCGGTCATGACCATACGACCGCCCAGGTTCTTCTCCAGCTGTCGTTGCCAGTTAGCGGAGGGGAAATACGGAGCCATGGGAGTTACAGTAACCTACATCGAGCCATGATTGTGCGTACGCCATGATGTGACTGCGTGTGAGGTGAGCGATGTAATGAAGAACAGATCGAGGCTATGATAGTCTACCAAATCATTAGCTGAGCCGGGCTGCAATGTGAGACGTGTGAAAGACAGTTCGGAGCACGAATTTATACTCTGTACCATGGTTCGGTTCGACCTCGGTTACATAAACCGTGACTGAGACGGAGGGGCATAGGTGAGAACCATTGATCCGACAGTTAAGAGAGCGCAAAAGTCAACAGGTGTCGACATGGGCGAGTCAGAAGCCCAGAAATGTCGCTTGCAATAATTGTGGATTTTGGAGGAGCCAATTCCTTTGGGCGCTGTCCGCCTTGACACTGACGATGTCCACGCTACGGTGAATACCACAGTTGGGGGCGGGTGAGACTGGCGATTGGCGGATATTCACAGCCATTCCACTTGTCACTCATCGCGGAATTGATCCCATCATCATTCAATAATACAAAGGTATATCTCCTATCGAGGGGGCCTGGTCCTCGATGCAAGGTCTGCTTGCAGCATTGCGTCAGCCGTTCAGTCTGAATTCGACCAAGGCAGTCCTTGTATACGCTCATATACCTCTATTTAAGTAGCACACGTCAGCAGGATCCTTCGCTACGTGAGGGTCGTCCAGACAGATGATGCGTCCCCGATAACGCCGCCTGGTCTATCAGGACCACATTACTAACATCGCCGGGTTGAGGAGACGTACGAACTAAAACGTCGCCGATCTCAGCTAGCTACTTCGCAGTCATCCCTTTTGTAGGGTTGGAAACAACCGACAGACCGTTGATAACCGAGCTCAGGGGCGAAAAGAGATATCCTCCTGGTAGGTAAATCTTTCGACGTATGTCGACCCCAACAGTTGGATCCTCTCACATTGTCGTCTAAGAAGATTCTCCAAAGTTCATATGCCCCGTCTGTTCTGCATGTTTCATAGCCCCAGCCTCTCCAATACATGTCGCTCGGCAATCGTTACATCTGAGCCTGAACCCAGCAGTGTCGGTGTAATAGTGTTTGGCCTGTAGTTTCCGACATAAGGCGATGGCATGGGGAAGGACTTCGTCAGAAAGCGGCTGGACGAACTGCTTGACATCTGCTTCCGGCGATTCGCCATGTACGCTTAGAGCGATTGTGTCATAATGGATGCCAGAATACACAATGAAACAGCGGCTTTTGGCATCTTCGTTATACCTGTCCACTCGCAACGTCTGCACGTCAATGCTGCAGATTTCGATATCGAATTGCTGGCTGAGGATGTCAAGCTCAATTTGGCCGCCCCAAGCGTCCTCGGTCTGGATCCATCGGCAATATGCGTCTGGTTCTTTGTTGTCCAAGATAGCCTTTGTGTACTTTTGGCGATTGGCTTGAATGCTCTGGGCAATTATCGACCGTAGTTCCGTGACCGCATCCATATCTGACAGGACAGCGCTGGCAACAGCTCGAAAAAGACATGAATTGTCGTCTGGCATGATGCGTAGGACCAAGGTGCCTTGGAGGTCCGGACACCAGATTTCGGGCGGATCTGCCATTTCGGGGTTTTCCTTTCGCGAGAGCGACAGCGGCGCTGCCGAGGCTACTTGGGGATTCGGTCCTGATTTCGACGTGCCAGAGAGGGCCGTGGGTGCGGCACTGTGTTGTCTTGAAGAATCAGCTGCTCTCAGGGCACCTTTGACTGGATCCGAGGACGTCGGCTGAGTGTCACTCTTCTCGGTTGGTGGTTTGACTTCATTAACGATCAGTTGTTCGCCATTCAGTTTGATGTCAAGCTCTGAAAGAAGTTTTGAAGATGGCAGTTGATCGAGTGACAGTGTTTTTGGTGGATAGCCATATTTGACCTCGAATGAAGATAACGATGTTTCGGCTCTGATGGTCTTTCGGAGTGTCTCGACCGTGGCGGACTCATCAAGGCTGACTGTGTTGGATTTGCCAGAAGGGCCCCTGATCCGAACCCTCATTCCGTACTTCTCTTGAGGAGACTGGTTGGAGCGGATATAATTTACGATATATACTGCGAGCAGATGAAGTGGAAAAGAAAGTAGAAGGAGAAGATCGATCACGAGGCAAATCGGTGACCAGTTGCTAGTGACAAATGACAGCAACAATCTTGCCGCAGGCTCTTGCCACCAGAAGGATGTGGTCTTGAATCGAAGGGGACAAATTGAAGAATCGCCAAATCTCAGCCCGGTTTCTCGTTCACAGGCGGTTCGTTGTCTGCTAAAACCCTCCGACACGATTTCTCAGGTCTCGACACGTTGCCTCTTATACTCACTAGGCGTTTTACTCACGGGCCAGCGGTGACGATCAAAGGGGGTGAAATATCATAGGAACAAGTGTCTAATCAGCCCAGAGCGGTTTAACCCCAAGATTCGCCGGCCCGATATTCGACGCGACTCGTTTGAGATGCACAGGACGCGTTCGGAACCAGGAACTCGAAGGAGGATGCCATCTTCCAAAGGACCTTTGCACTGATGATAATTGTAGAAATGACCAACACAGTGATGTGGTGAAGGGGGAGGTGAAGCAGCGCAAGGTCCTCAGAGCAACTTCCGCCAAGACTTTGTCTCTGCGCCCCAGATTTGCCCGCAGTCCGCATGTCGCTGTTGTCGCATGTCGCATTCCCTTGGTAGAGTCGCGACAACATCATCACCTAGTCTATCTCCTGGCAGTAGCTCCTCGCACATAGATTGCCGCCACATGTCGTCGCACGAGGTGCCTTTCCAGCCCAATTACACGTCTCCACCTAGTCACGATAGTTGCGCAACAAAAAGACATGGCCGAAGCCGAAACCCCAAGTGCGCCCGTGACTGAACCGGTCCAGTCCATCGAAGTCGAGCCTGCTGTCAAGGAAGAGGATGCGGCTGATGACAAATCTGACAATGAAGGCGACGGTGCTGAAGAAGCCGAGGACGTCGCCGGAGAAGAACAAGATGAGCCTGCGGTTTCTATCGAACAGTACAAGGCCTTGAAAAACATCACCGATGTCGTGACGAATTACAAGATCAAGGTCAAGGATGAGTCTGTGCAGTGCCCTGCTCCACCCTTCCACGCTGACCTCTTCTTCAGGGACTACTATCCTTCCCAGCTCTTTAGGCGCAAGCCCAACAGAAGGGTCCTACCAGATTACCACGAAATCATCAAGGACCCTGTGGCTATCAGTACTCTTAAGCAGAAGATACAGAGAAAGCTATACACAGGCATCCCTGAGTTCGTCCGCGACTTTGCCTTGATTGTTCACAACGCCCAGGTATATAACAGACCGAACTCGGCTCCCGTGCGCGATGTCCTCCTGTTGCAGTCCATCTTCAAGGAGGAACTCAAGAAGCTGGTGGATGAAGGTTTGATTCAGGAAGAGGAAACGGTTTTCCCAGACCTCGGAGAAATCCCCGATGCAACCCCTGAACCGAGCCCGGTGTCCGACGATGACGACGACAATGAGGACGAGGAGGACGAGGAGGACGACGACGGAGCCGATGACGATTCTGAAGATGATCGGAGGAAGAGAAGGCGGAAAAGCGGCCGCCCGAGCATTTCAGGACGCAAGGGCCGCGATGAAGGCGACGACGCAGATCTACGAAAGCGACGAGGACGACCTCCCAAGGTCGACACGCCAATGGAAGCTCGAATCAAAGCCATCCTCAAGGGGCTCCGCAAGCCGAAGGACGACGCAGGTAATTTGAAAGTCCGTCATTTTGAACGATTGCCGGACAAGACGGAGTATCCGGCTTATTTTGTTGAGATCAAGGATCCAATCGCCCTCGATACTATCAAGAAAAAGGCCAAGAGAAAGAAGTATCAGTCACTTGAACAATTCATGAAGGATATTGATCTTCTCTTCAACAATGCAAAGCAATTTAACGAGGATGGCAGTGAGATCTACCAAGATGCGGTAGATCTTCACGCCGAAGCGCAGAAATTGGCCGAAATCGAAAAGGCCAAACCTGACGACGAGTACCTCATGGAAGATGGCCGAAGACCCTTGCCAGCTGGTATTTTCTACAAAAATGAAATCTGGAAGGTCGGCGACTGGGTTCACATTCAAAACCAGAACGATGTGACCAAGCCAATTGTTGCTCAAATATATCGGACCTGGGAGGATTCTGAGGGTCAGAAATGGATCAATGCTTGTTGGTACTATCGACCAGAACAAACTGTGCATCAGTACGAAAAGCATTTCTGGCCGAATGAAGTTGTCAAAACCGGCCAGTATCGAGACCATCAGATTGAGGAGGTGATCGATCGTTGTTTTGTCATGTTCTTTACCAGATACACTCGTGGCAGACCTCGAAACGTCGATCCAACAAAGGAGGTCTATGTCTGTGAAGCCCGGTACAATGAGGAGAAGCACAGCTTCAACAAGATCAAGACGTGGGCCAGCTGTTTGCCTGACGAGGTCCGAGACAAGGATTATGAGATGGACTTGTTTGATGTGCCTCGAAAGATCAAGAAAGTACCCAGCCCACTCAAGCATCTCTTGAAGGACAACATGAAAGAGACGGATGAGATTCCTTCTCCTCAATGGGGCCATCCCAATGCACCACCAATTGTGGGCGGAATCCATAAACATGCCCGCGGCGAAAATGTGAGTTTTTTTGGTTTGTGTGCGCGGTGTACACCACTTGCTCTAGCTTGATGGGACTCTCTTGCAGCATTTCCACTGACTTTTCTATCTCGCAGCAATCGCCGCCACCAGTTCCGACACCTCCTCCTCCTACACCTCCGCCTGTCGCGAGACAACCTTCGTTGACCACTGCTGCACCGCGTCCTATGATTAATGGCGCAGGAAATCACGTTCCGCCGAGTCTGCAGTCTCAGCTGACGCGCCCCTCACCGTCTTTGACTCCCAATCCATTCCAACACCAGTCGATCTCGCCTGCTCCTCAGTATAGCCGACAGACCTCCTATCAGCAGTCACAGCCTCATCTCCATCCAACCATTGCTCCCCAGACACCAGCCTCGCAACAATCACATCATCCTTATAACCCGCAACCCCAGATCCACCCTCAGCCGGCATTGACTCCCGCCCACGCCGCAAACTACTCGTCTTCTACCACTCCCTCCCAGGGGATGTATAATCGCCCTCTTCAAGGACAACCGGCAACCGCCGCTACTGCCACCTCTGCTCAACCATACGTACCTTTCCCTTCGTCGGTTACCGCTGGTTTCCCCGACCAACGCGTCGCCGAAGTCTTTGTCCTCTCAGACGCCGCCAACGAATCGATCCCAAAACACATTCGCGACCGATTCCCACAGGACGACCAAGGGCGCGTCCTGTTCTTCACGAAACCGCCCGTCCTGCATGACATGACGGTCAGAGGGAGAGATGGACAGCCTTTAAGACATACGGAAAAATATCTGGCCGCCAGAAAGGAGAAGGAGCGGTTGAGAGAGGAGAGGAAACGCGCGAGAGCAGAGGCCGAGAAGGCGGACAAAACAGACGCAATGAAACGTGCGAGAATTACTGTTTGAATTCGGCAAGTATTTTTTTCAGATGCATTGAGTGAGAGTGGAACGTTTCCCCGTGCGAGTAGGATGCATGGTGGTGATGACACAAGAGAAAGACATAATGTACTATTTTCTATGCCCAGCGTCGGCGCTGGTGGATGGACACCTGAGATCCCGTTACATCAAACAAGCCTTTAGCTCATAACCATTGCGTCCGATTTTGGCCCTGAATTATTCCTAGAGCCGACCCTTTGCTATTACACGTTGGTTAGCATGTGAATCGGGAGGGAGATGGTAAAATGGAAACATATCCATGAGTTCATAATATCGTCCCAGACAATCACGCGCCCTTGTTGAACATGGCATGCATCCATTCGACCAGGGCGTAGTTGCAGCTCATTCTGGATGTGTATCGCCCGTTGCGCATTGCATTGATGGACTCTGAATCGCTGATGGTATATAGTTCTGCTGGCACCATCACCATCACCACCACCATCACCACTGCTGCAGCAGCAGCTGCTGCAGAACGCATCCTTCTTCCTCCGTGCACTGAGATCGCAATTTCAAGGGTGTGGACTCGGTCTGGACTCGGTCTGGACTCGGACAAGAGAGGCGAGGCGAGGCGAGGCGACGTGAAGGGTCGTGAGGCGAGGTGGAGCGACCAGAAGGGAGGCTAGATGGCCTCAAACAACTCGTCTCTCCGTCTCCTCAGACGGTCCAGCTCTGCCTGTGCCCTCTGCACCTCCGCGCGCGACGTGTCAATGTCCGGGGGCAGACCGTAGAAGTGCCTGATGCGGCCTTCCAGCGCCTCGATCTGCTTCTTCTTGCGGCCCAGGGAGCTTTGCTTTGCGGCGAGGGTTGTGAGGTTGGGCTCGTCCTCCAGCGCGGATGATGCGAGCTGCTGCTGCCGCTCCAACACGGCGATCCGCGATCTGTACTCGGCAGATTTGAGTGTCAGTTGTTTCGTCTCGCGTTGGTGTTGGAGCGTGAGGCCATGGAGATGCGAATAATCCATGGTGGTGGGAGCAGTCGTTGTCATCGTCACTGTCGTCAGCGGTGGTGGAGTAGAGGAAGGCGTCGTCGGCGGAAATGACGGCGAGGTTGTATCGTCCTGTGGACGAGCTGACGTCGGAGTCCTCTCGACGAAGGCAGCGAGAGCTTGTTGGGTCTGAGCGATTTGGTTCTGGAGAGTAGCCGTGAGCGTTTCGATGGATGAGAGCTGGGATTCTTGGGCGAAGGTTTGGCGAGGGATGTTGACGATTTGAGATGTGAGAATTTGAAGGACACCAGGGGTCGGAGATGATGGGGACGAGGAAAGCGGCGGCGGCGGAGAGAGACAGCCTAAGAGGACGACAGAGCTGGCGAGGGAATAAAGAGCTGCTTGTGAAGGCGGCGCGAGCGAGGTCTCGAGCAAGGAAAGAATTGAACTCGCACTGTTCTCATCATCACCCGTCTCTCGTTGATGTTGTTGTAGACGTGTCACCTCCTCGTCAGCTGCTAGTTCTTCAGCTTTTGCATCAAACAGTAGCTCACGCTCTCGGTCTGCGGCGATATTTTCCGCCATGAGGCTCTGCAAGGCTTTGAGCGTCGTGGCATTGCGTTCGAAAGCCGGCACGGGTGATGGATGATAGAGCCTCGCGAGCCATGACTGGACGACTGACCAGGAGTGTGAGGCAATGGCTTGAGCACGGGCTTTGGATGGCGACGCTTGCATGATATTTGTTGTCTCTCAGAGCTAAAAAGAAGTCAATCTGCCTGTAGCAATACGAGAGTCGAAGGGAAAACTGTGCCTTTTCAATGTTAGATGTGTGTTTTGTACAATCCTTGAATTTGCCAGGTGTGAAAGCCTAAAGGTGAGAGCTCTAGGATCCCTCCCAGTTCCAAAAATGTAGCCACGATTCGACTCTAGTTCTCCCACCCTCAATCAAGATAAAGACCAGTAACTACATAGAATTACTCTGGGCTGGCGGGAGCAATCGCCGAATTTGGTTTGACGTTCAGTTGAATTTGCAGCCCTCCGAGATACATAATAGTTGGGAAGCTCGTGACTGCTCGACGAGGCTACCACATCGGGCAATTTCAGCGCCCCTGGGAACTCTTGAGCTAGCGATGGGGCTACAGAGTACGAAGTATGCTTCTAATGCCACATACTGCATCGACCTGTGACTGCTGTCTTGCATCCCACGCACCCAGCCGACCAAGGCCACCAAACTCAACAGATGCTAGCAAAAGTTTCACGACATCCTCAGATTGGAGGCAATATCATTCGTCGCGACTGCATCAAGATCACCTGCGTCGCTGGCCGAAATCTTGTCGCGTTAGACTTCTTATCGGTCCCTTGCAAAAACAGGTATTTCCCCTTTGATTGTGACCAATTCTGCTCAGCGCAGAGCTCCGGACCATAAAATCCCCGTTTTCTCTCACAAGAAGTCTCACAAGAAGTAGCTTTGGCCATCCTTGGACATCACGCTGTTTGGGACAGGCATGCTGCAGGACTGCCTCGATAAAGGCAAACTGATGGCCATCCAACTGACGGTCTTCCTGAAAATGGAAACCCTGCCGTTGCAGCATTGGCAGCTTTCTTCCACCGGCTGTTTCTCGGGAGATGCTGCACTGATCTATTGAGGCTGCCTGTTATCTCTGGCTGAAAGCCCAACAACGAGGATCTCCTGCGAGGGCCAGATGCGCTCCATTTGCATTCTTGCAGGCAAAGATCCTGCATTCGCAAAGCTTCCTCGTCGAGGTTCAGCCGTTATCTTTGTAAATCGAAGCCTGAAACGGTGCTTGAGGGCTCCGGAAACAGAAGAGACGAAGGGGACCTTGGTGTAGCCTTCAATGGCATTCATTTTTGCACCGTCCATGACCGTCATTCAGAGATTCTTGCTTCAGTAGCGGCCCAATCTGCTCAAGAATTGCCCAACAGCTTTTCTGGGCGGTATCGGAGAGCATTGGACGTCGACAGAAGGGGAATTTGATTTGGCGAAGCCATTTTTTTCCCACCGGCTTTTTTGGACCGTACATGTTACCTTTAGATTTCCTGCTTCGGCAGAGGAACATTTTCAGCAAAGTCTGATGAGGGGGGTGCAGAGTATATTTTCCAGGAAAGGAAACCAAAAATCCGTATCTTTTTACACCGTCTTTCACATTCTCATGCCCCAGGACCTGGCCAAATTTACGCTGTTGCCCGCCCAGAAGCCAAGGTATTGTGAAAGTCCTCCGAGAGTGTCTCCGAGGAGCTGCAAATCTCTCAACCTGCGGTCAAGGAACTCGTCTGTTGCTGAAAAATCATTTGATGTATCCGTTGTCATGAACATTTCTGAGCTTGCATAGACGGCTGCGAGAGAGGCCCGTTTGGTGTACCAAGAGAAGTCGACCGTGGTGTCTCCGGCGAGATACCAAATCTCATCCGACAGGGCGTTGAGTTCTTTCACAGAGGCAGGGATGTTCTCGAGGAGGGACATTTGGCCGAGAGCCTGTGGAGACAATCATCAGATCAGTGCTCGGTAGAGAAATGGTGTGAACGTACCCCCTGCCACTGGTGGATAACGTCTGCATTTGCCCTCAACCGTGCCATGGTCAACGTCTTAAGTTTAGCCCCCAAGCCCAACGTTGACCCCTTTGGAAATTGTACGGTATCTTTTAATGCAAGTCTCTGCGTGACCAGATGATAATTGATGAGATCAAACACCCCCCGGGGGAAGAGCTGGATGGTAACATCTAAGTATCCTGCATCTTTAGCCCCCAGCGCCAGAGCCATTTCGGTGAAACCGTGCTGGGGTACTCGACTAATGGCAGCCGAAAGGATTCGGTCTTGAGTTTCGGGGAAAGGTGGAGGATCTGGGTGGTGGATTGAGAAGTAGGTCCGTCGGAGAGTAGGCCTCTGTGTCAGAGCACGGCATGGCTGCGTAGCGGTCGAGCTCAACCGCAGCGGTCGAAAGAAGGCCACGGATCTCCCGTGAGCAATGGACATGATTGCTGCCGCGGGTGTGATGGGGTTATAAGAAAAAACAAGAAAGACTCTGCGAGGAGTAGGAGTAAGCGTCAAGTCGACAGGTGGAGACTCAATGGACAATCCACGATGATCCACGGGTTCGAGATCGAAGGCAGAGCGAGCTGCACAACATCTGCAACCATCCGACGAACGATGAAGCTAGCTTCAAGAGGTGGCCAGGCAAAATTGTTGCTCTGACCGGAAATATCTTCCTCACAACCTCCAAGTGGTGCAAGGTTCCCTCAGCCTTACCGTGCTTGGCACGCGGTGGCTCGTGTGTCTCATTGGTTCGGAACAATCGGCCGATTCAAAGCCCTTCCAGTGCTGTGTTGTTCAATTACTTGTACTCGAGATACTTTTACGGAGTACCTAGTCCATATCAAAACTCCTGGACCGAGTACAGAGGAGCCACCTACATAGGTCCTTGTCTGAGCCGACCCAGCACGATTCCAAGAGGGCATATTTGGCAAACAAGATACCTACCTAGGCACTAACCGAGTGCAATAGGTTCTGGACTCCGTTCAAGAAGGTGGTTTTGCGAATAGCCGCAGGTTTCCAAGTTGCTCCCACTAATATTCCAACCCTTCATCAGACGGTCCGTTTTTGGGAAGAGCTCCGTTCTCAAGTCAAAACGATGATTACAACCCCATCTTTACGATTTAACCGGGAACGCGATAGGCTGTTTTTAGCGTTGTTATAGTCTACTCCGTACGCACTCGGTACTCCGTATTGCGCAATGCTTGGGATGAAGTGTGGTCGGACGACGATTAGCCAGGAAAGAACACACAACTTGGTTGAAGCTCGGCGTTGCGAGGATGCCTTGATCGACCAACCAAGCACCGCCAGTTTGTCGAGTCAGGCAAGTCCATATGCAGTAGACGGTCCTGGGGTATTACGAGGTTGCATTTGCACAATGCGGGTCAACTCGAGATCGGCTACTTCATACCGGTGGTGGGTGGCGTTAGAGCTCTTTTCGGTAAATGTTCGAGGACGAGAATTTGAAATTTCTCTGGTGTGCCGTTTCCCCACTCGCCATGTGTGCGAGCAAGGGAATACCCAGGGAGTCTAGGATTGCTTCAAGCAGGGTTAGCTGTGCGGAGAAGACCAAAGATAAGGTACCTTGCGCCGACGCCTTTCAAGCCCAACAGAGGGAGGTTGAAAGATGGTTGTTCACGGTTGACGCGGAACGAGAGTCCCGGTGGATCGTCCAAGCGCCGCCAGGCGTGTGCACCCGTATTTCCGCGCTTCTGCTTTACGCCGATTTGGCTGGGCATGGCTGAATTCAACCACTGATCTTTGTTGCCGCCATTGTGGCTTGCTGGCTCCTCACCTGAACATGCAGTCTAGGCTTTGCGAGGTGCATGTAGAAAGTGCTTCCGGCCCTCCATCTCACCCGCTATTGAAGAGGCTTCTCCAGCGTCGCCGAAATGTCAAGCTCAGCGGCTCCATAATGTCGTAATCCTCAAGCGGATGGATTCCTCTGCTCCCTTGACACCAGATTCTTGACCCTTGCTCATTAGAATCGGCGAACGGCGGCCAGTTGTGGTGGAGCTGGTGAGCTTGTCACAGCGCCACTTGGATGCCGATCCTATCGGTGCCAATCGTTCCCACGACAAGGTCGGCAAGCCCTTGTTCGTTGAATGTGAGTTGGGTGCCAGGCTCCCTGCATGAGGAACTAGATGAATGTGAAACAAAGTTGTGTGCTCTAAGGGCGTGTTTTCCGAGTCAGGCGCAAAATGGCTATAACAGTTGAACCCTTTTGTTGCTGTCAAGCCCCACGGCGGCTCATTTTGAGCAAGAAGAGAAAAGGTCTGCGGCTTGAGATTGGCATTGCTCCTCGGGTCTTTTCGCAGAGGCATGAAAACCTGGCCTTTGCTATGACCGCGCCGCTGGCCCGTAGACAAGCAAAAGCTACTAGAAGAATTCTCCGCACAGTTGCATCCGGTAACATTCTTCAACAAGAAGAAGCGCTTTCTTGTACCTTCAATCCTCTTTGTATGGCGTGACACATAAACGGCCCTGCCTGTTTATGGTCCCTCGTCGGCGTGTTGCTGGGGCTCCCCTCGTACGCCACAAGGGAGTTTATGCCGGTGGAGGGAACAAAGAACCCCGTTAGCTCGTTAGCTTTGCATATGTGCAGTACCGTACTTTTCCGTAGAAATAACGCGTCCGCAGGAACAGAAAGGAGGAGGGGCCACATCCAATGCCAGAGAAGGTTGTTTCCTGGTTGATGGCCTGGCGGGATCTGGGATCTAAGAGTTCCTTTCGTTAACACCCCCGCTAAATGCAGGCTGCTTTCTACTGAGCGTACACACCCCAAGCAAAGCCGTGAGCGAATAAAAGGAATCCCTGTCACAGTGGCAGGCATCATGAGCTGCGATGAGTCGAGGGTTCAACGGCAAGTTGACAGGGCTCGCAGGGAAGGGAAGCGCAAGGGTAGCCACCAGCACGAGTCGCAAGGGACCTTGAAGGGACCTTGGAGGGATTGAAAGGTGAAAAGCGGATCGCTAGCGCCAAGGCCGCCGGGCCACTCAGACCTCGTGCCTTCGCCTTCTTTCTCCCGTCACCAGTCACACTCACCCACTTGCGCCCATCGCAGCCATCGCATCCAATTCGACCTACTTTTTTGCCCATCAACACCTGCATCCATCTTGCTTCCTCCGGTGCCTCCTGCGTCGTAGCTGCATTAACTACATCCGAGCCTTTCCCATAACTGACCCTCCTTTACCCTCCCCGTCGCCCGAGCCCGCGACCCAAGCCCGGACCTGTCGCTCTGCCTGTGCCATTAGGCCCCAGAACGCTGCCTTGCCGGCTTACTCGACCGACTCAGGACTGCCTTTCTTCCTCTTGGTTGTCCCCATTGGGCCCTCTTCCGAACGGACCCCGTCTCGACGCCTCTGACACAAGCCAATTGGGTCCGTTGTGTCCGTTTTTCTGGTTGGTCCAACACCCCTGCACCCCAATGGGGAACAGAAGGAGGAGGGACGAGTTGAGTGCTACCCACGGCCGTCCTGGACGCTGGTGGCCTCCATGGATGGAAAGAAGTCCTTGGAGTCCATAACCTGAAGGGAGAGGGTGCAAGCGCATGAAAGAATCGAAGCATGGTGAAAGAGGCTGCTGACTGAACTGGTGGTGATGGCGCAGGTTTCCAATTACAGCATCACCTTGCAAGGCAACAATCCGACCACACTGGACCCTTCTCCTCGCCCATATCATCGCCCAATAACATCCACCTCCTGAACACAGCGTTAAGCACGGCAAGAAGTTGCAGACTCCACTCCCAGGTTGTCCTCGTTGGCCCCGCCGCACCCGACTGGGCCCTCGCTGCCTTGATCCAGGTTTGTTCTGTCAAGAGAAAATTTTATCCGACCAGACAAGCAACCCTCGAACACGAACCGCAAAAGAGTCGGTCCAAGGACGCGCCGCTTGAGGCTCTGTCAGATTTGCTCTGCATTGTGTTGCGCCCGTGTCAGAGGAATCCTATCTCCTGTCCCCCCCTCCGACGAGACTGAGGCCCTGAGAAGCCGCTCCACCCACTACGAATCGAGCTGCCCGCGTTTGCCTACAGCTCCAGACAGCCCTTGTACTACTCGGGAAACCTCGTTAGCTGGTCTCTCTCCTCCCCCCTCCCTTCCTGCATTTTCGTGCATGCGATCCTGATCTCGTAGAAGTCAACAGTCAAAACCCGCCGCACGAGCTCTCGGCAATCAATTATCATGGGTCTGTCTCTCTCTCCCTCTTCTCATTTTTCTCTCGTCTTCGGTGGCCCAGGCTAGCCATTCCGGCATTGGTCTCCCCGATCATCACCTTGTCCTGCCCTGCCTGTGCCTGTCCCATCTTTGTTGCATCAACTCTGTCTCTGCCCAACCTCATCTTCACCGTCTCTTCTCTTTTTCTTCCTCTCCCTAACCCCGAGCGTCCGTTGGCTAACGTGGTGAATATCTAGTAAGTGAAACGAATTCTTGCCCCCGCGCACAGATGGAGGTTGCGATGATCAAGATTGGAGGTGAAGTCGTTTCCCGGCTTCACCACGACCATTCCCAATCGGCCTGGGTCCACTTCTGCCTTATGTCCTTTGCGACGGGCACACACGAATCAAACGGGACAGATTCACTGTCTCTTCTGTTCGACCCCAATAATAGCGTGACATGACCATTCACTTGCATGTGCGACTTGGTCTGGAACCGACCTGCGTGACGCTTTAAATTCGAGCTCTCTCCGCTCCCACTCCCACGCTATGATCGCTATTGCTCGCCAATATTCTGACCGTTTTCAGAGGGACCGATCAGATCGATCTCGTTCACCCCGTCGCCGATCGCGCAGTCCACGACGAAGCCGACGTTCCTACTCTCCCCGAAGCCGCTCTCGCAGTCGAGGCGACGACTACCGTCGAAGTGAACGTCGATCACGAAGTCCCATGACCGGTGCACCCAACCCAACTGGAGGATACTCAGGAGGGTCAGGCTACGCCGGCGGAGGTCGACCACCACCTAGAACCTACGAAGACCGTGCTGCGGCAAAAGAACAAATGATGCAATCAGTGCGCGAGTCTTCTCAACAAGACCGCCGTGTCTATGTGGGCAATTTGGCTTACGACGTCAAATGGCACCATCTCAAAGATTTTATGAGACAAGGTGGGTTTCAGGGGGTCCCATCAGATTCGGGACGTTTACTGATGCCGAAAACTAGCTGGAGAAGTTCTCTTTGCTGATGTCTTGACTCTTCCGAATGGAATGTCGAAGGTGGGCGCCATTGTGTGATGCGGCTGGTTCTACTGGTCTTCCTTTTTGGTTACTTTTGTTGGACGTTGGATTGACGGGTTGGACCTGGTCCGCGGGTTTCATGTAGGGATGCGGGTAAGTACTACATTTCTACCGTCTTGTGAATTCCGGACCGGTTTTCTGACTCGAATTAGGATTGTGGAATACGCAACTAGGGAACAAGCCCAACAGGCTATCCAGACACTCAGCAACCAGAGCCTCATGGGCCGTCTCGTCTACGTCCGAGAGGTGCGCCGCCTTTCCTCAGCGCGAGTCCATCATCCTCCCAGTCCTACTGACTGCAACATTTCTCAATTAGGATCGCGAAACAGAGCCTCGATTCACTGGTCCATCAGCTCGCGGCGGCTTTGACGGCGGGCGAGGCGGGTTCGGGGGGTACGGCGGTGGTCCATATGGTGGCGGTATGGGCGCCGGTGGAGGTGGTGTTGGTGGCGGCCGACAACTCTACATCTCCAATGTCTGTTTCTCCTCCCCTTGATGTATACTCCCTGAGGTATCCATTGACATGGATTCTTTAGCTTCCGTTCAATGTCGGCTGGCAGGATCTGAAGGATCTCTTCCGCCAGGCTGGTAAGTGCTCCCTCTCGGTGCGGAACTGACGATAAATCTCACATGTTGCAGCTCAAGAGGGAACTGTTATTCGAGCCGATGTGCATGTGGATCCAAGTGGCCGCCCCAAAGGAACCGGGATTGTCGCCTTCGAATCTCCTAATGATGCCCGCAACGCCATTCAACAATTCAACGGATACGACTGGCACGGCCGGGCCCTCGAGGTTCGAGAGGACCGTTATGCGGGCAGCGGCGGAGCCGGCATGGGATATGGTGGACGAGGAGGATTCGGCGGCGGATTCGGCGGTATGCGTGGTGGCTACGGTGGAGGTAGAGGAGGCTTCGGTGGCCGTGGAGGCTACGGCGGCGGTGGTGGCTATTCCCGCGGTGGATATGGTGGTGGGTATGGAGGAGGCGGAGGCGGCGGTGGATATGGCGGTGCTGCTGCTCAAGAACCAGCGGCGCCCAATCCATTTACCGACTTCGCAACCTCAGGAGGCGAGAGAAGCCAAACGATCTACGTGCGAAACGTGAGTGTCTCCCCAATTCTGGCTGCAGAATGTGCAGAAGCTTACCGCTATTCAGCTCCCTTGGTCCACGAGCAACGAAGACCTGGTCGAACTGTTCACTACTATTGGCAAAGTTGAACGTGCAGAGATCCAATATGAACCGAGTGGACGGTCTCGAGGAACTGGTGTGGTCGAGTTCGACAGTGCTGAAAACGCCGAGACAGCCATCTGTGTGTTTGCCCTCGTTCTGTCATTCGTGGTGTACACTGACATTGTATAGCGAAATTCACTGGCTACATGTACGGCGGGCGCCCACTTGGACTGAGCTACGTCAAATACACCAATGCGAACGGCAACGAGGCCATGGAGGGTCAAGAGGCCACGGGGGGCATGACTCAAGATCAAATGATGTGACCGTCACGACGACATGCATCGAAATTTCTTCGCTGGTGGACAGGTGTCTCTCGATATGCGGATCGACGTCGAACCGAAAATCCCATCATTCTACAACCCATCATTCTCCAGATTGTACTTTAAGACATTGCTTCGACTACTCGGCACACGAGATCCATTCACGGCAAACTGGGCTTTCCTGCGAGGCCTACGAAGCCATCGATTTTCCCTTTCTAGCTTCCTTCAACAAAAGTTGTGATTTACATTTTGGGGTTCAGGGTGAGCTAGTGGGTCAGTGGGACAGTGAAGAGCTTGAACGAGAAGCTGAGGCTTAACTGTGCCTCGTGGAAAAGGAAGAGAATTTCAGATTGGAACCATTATTCTCTTGTCCACTGAGGGATATTGCGGGTGGGCAGGGTTAGATAGGTGATATCTCATGAGTGGTTTGGGGGCTGGAGCGAGAGAACCCTGGGCAGGAATGATTGAGTCACAAAACAACCAAACAATGCAATGCGTACGGATAGCTGGGACAACAGGCTATGTCTGGTGTGGGGTTGTAGAGATCCATTGAAGGTATGGTGGCTATGGTTGCGAACCGCTTCGCGATTGGGGACCATGGCCGAGACACGGGCGAACTCGATCGCGAATTCCCCCCCCCAGGTGCGACTCGATCAGTCACGGCGGCAAGCATCCATTCCCAGCAGCAATCGGGCGATGAGCGTACGTGTGAGCATGTGTCAGGCGGACGATGCCCTGTGGACAGCTACCCTTTCCCCTGTCGCGTCACCTAGAATTGCACTTGAAGAGGGCTGGTGGGCGGTCCGTCCAGGCCTTTCTTGCCACGGCCTGATGCCTGATTTCTATGATACTTTGAGGAAAAGGGTTGCATTCTGCCTGAAGGACCAATGTGGTTACAACGAACAATGGTAAGATGCCAGGATGAGCAGCAGGCCAGGTTATAAAGTACCCTACCTATAACTCTACTGGATTTTAACCAGAAAGACGAGGAGGATGTTCTCTCCCCTTTCCGGGAGCAACAAACTGGTCAGTTTGGAGCACGTTCGGTGAGTCAATGGGTGAGTGGATACATCGCCCACTTGTTTGTTTTTCTTTTCTTCTCTCTTCTTTATCCTCCTACCGACTATGGTGGCTCCTGGGTTTGCCAATACAGAGCGGCGACTACTAGAATGGCTTCGCTGCTTTTTCTCTTACAGATCGAGGAGAAAATTGGAGTGTTCCCTGTTTTCATTTCTCTCCCCTTTCTAACCCCCCTCCTTTGGAGGGCCCTGACTCCGTTTACAAGGAGCCATTTTTTGCCATATTACGGAGCCGTCACGCCCTGCATATATAACTAAAGAGTTCTGGATCATGCATTACCTACTCTATTGACACGCCGGGGAAATATATGTGTAATTTTGTCTGCACTCTACCTACACCTTTCGCTCGTCCTAGGGCCGGGTATGCTAGATAAAGCGAGGCATGCACGGGTTCCTCCACTTGTCAACATATGCCTGGGATAGGAAAAAGGGGGGAAGGGGGAGACAGAGAGTGTGGGTGTTGTAGGTGTGCTTGGCGGCCTTACACTCCGTCCCTCTCCCCCTCCGTTGACTCCGGTATATCGCATTTGATCAACACAATGAGTCAGTCAGTTCAGTCGTCATTGGCTAAGATTGGATCCTGGAACACTTGCGTCGGCTGGGTAGAGCCACACACTACACCACAGAACAACATGCATACACGAGAAAGAACTGGCCCGCTCTCCTTCGTAAGTGCATGGCGCCGTTCATGGAAAAGAGCGGAGCGTAGAGTGGGACGGTGGAAGCCCATCCATGACTCTACAGTAGTGAAGCTGATCAAACCGGAGAGACGCAGACAGAACAACGAAGACTCGATGGGGGATGGGGATGGGGGAAACAAGGTAGTGTCACTCGATGATAATAATTTGCACCCTTCCATGAGACCATCCCTCCTACTCGCTGACCGGCCCCCCTTAGCCCATAGACAACACGACAGTGTTGGCTAGAAACCAAGGACAAACAAAAGCACTCGCTCTGATGCTGGCCGGCCATTTGGTGTGTCGGATTTGGAGTTCCTAGTCTATCCCCTGCTGGTTAGGTTGGACCCCAGTACCGCCGGGCGTTACACAATGATCTGGGCTTAGGTGTGACGATCTACGATTCTAATCTGCCGTACCCTCCATCGAAGAGATCTTGTTTGTGGGTGTTCGTTCCGATGGATGCTTTCTGGCCTGGATGAGATCCTGTTTGGTTTAGAGACCTGAGTTTCCCCTGTTGGGGTTGTTGTTGCCAGCACCACCACCAAGGTTAGCGAAAGAACGATTGGAATAGACATGCAAGAGGGGGAGAAATAGCGAAAGGGACCAGGGGGTGACCGATCGGTCTAGGCTCCACGTTGAGCGTCGTGCCCAACTGTCTGGCAACTTGAAACACAAAATCGATATAGGAAGCCCGTGCTTAACCTTGCGAGAATCGGGAGCTTAGAGGGCAGGCGTCTGTTGCGCCTTTGGGATCGACAGAGTGCTAGCCAAATGGAGTCCTGACGTTGAGAAATCATCCTCAAGGATTCGTAGGCATAGACGTGCGGATTCCGACCACCATTTTCTGCAAATTTGGCGGAGGAACTGGGGTGTTGGTGTCGTTAGCATGACTTTTCAGGTCGTTAACAATCGGCGTTGACTTTGCTTTCTCAGTCAAGTAAGCGGTCTCTATTTCGATCTCGACATGGCATACTGCTCGGGTGTTGCATATGCACGAACAAACCAAGCACAAGGAAGCAGAGAATCGGGGTTGATGGCTCAAAGACACGAATGGGCAAAACGGCTGCTGAATTTCAGCCCGCCACCTCGTACGGGACTGTCGTATTGTACGCGGTAGGCTGGGCACCAATCCTGGGGGCAGCTGGCAGGGAGTGCCATATTGTTCTGATTTTGGTCATGGTCCACAACAACCTGCTGCAGCACCTCGTAGGCTCTGTTGAGACGTATTTCGCAAAAATAATGGATTCAGTGTCAAAAAGGATCGTGCGGGTGACATGTTGGGGACACGACCTCGCCGGCGAAAGGCGCCTGCAACATGAAACATGTCAGCTAGCTTGAATGCATGGATGGGACCACCATGACTCCGAGAAGGGACCTTCCGCCTCCCAGCAGACTCTCCATCTCGGCGCTTCAATCGTGAGGAATGGCTTTGACATGAGCTGTGTCCGGCGTGGACAGAACGGGAATGTGACCAGGGTCTCAGCTCACGCTACGGAGTACCCATCTTGGTGCCCATGGCGCCCATGGTTCCATTATGCGCATCGCCGATCAGTAAGTAGGAGCGAACGGTGGCCTCGGGAAACTCGAACATGGCTCTGTGACTGTGCATCCTTGGCCCCTGAGCCATCAGCTTCTCATCAAGAAATGTGTCTGTCACTGCATCGCTTTACTTTAGCGTTTTACCTTAAGAGTCCTCTCTTATAAAATGTACGGAGAAATTCTCGCTGACATTGGTTGCTTCATCATCGAAAGGAGAATACTCTGGACAAAAGCAGACCCACGGTCGCATGTCTGTCCTCCTAATTTTCGTCCAATATCCCAGCTAATAGAGAGCAGAAACAAGTAGGGCATTCCTGGAAACTGGCAGGATACTTACTTGCAGGTTGAGTCTGAGTTTGCTAAAGGAAGCATGGCAATGGAGCGCCGAAAGTCAAGAGTCCATTGCCGCGCAGGTCGAACCACGACTCCACGCCCTATCGGGATGAAGGTGTACGACGAGTCTTGACGGGATATCCACCTCAAGTATTGCTCCCAACACTTCGTTTAAACTCTTTCTTTCTGGTGAAAGCTCAGCCCGCTCGCCGGCGTCTAAGGCCGGGCTCAATCCGTTTTTGTCCATTCTATCGCTGCTTTGACACGCTTCACCGCCTTTTCTCTGCCATGGGCTGAGGTCCGTCAATGACCGGAAAGATTGCGCATTGTCATTCTCAAGAGCCCCAGTCCTAGGCAAGGACACTTCTTCAGCCCGAGGGAGGCAGGGTTATTGTGCAGCTTGGGATACTCGGACGGTGGCACGCCCCAGTGGTCCAGAATCAGGCCCTAATAGGGCTGAGATGGTGGATAGAAGACCAGCGCTCCTCCAGTGGCTGACGCGTGCTCTGTTCGGGGGCGCTAGGGGTCGTCGGCGAATTGCATCTCATATTGGTCCCGTACGTATTGTTGAGCGATGGGCCTAGTACTCTTTCAACCAACAGCGCAGTCGGCAGAGAGCTTCGGCATCGAAATGTGAACCATAGGACAGTGATGCTTTGGGGACTCGCGAGGACGAAGAGATGAAGCTCTGGGTGGTAAAGCTGCTCCCAGTTCTGGCCCCATCGCCCTTTGGCCGAGTCGGAACGAGTGAGCTCGGTCAAACCCCGGAATGGCCGATCTCGTCCAGCCTCGTGGACGGACACTTGAGACAACCGCGGCAAGTCGTTGGGACTAGACGATTAATGCTTCATTGGGTTTGAGAATGCACTCAATGACCGTTCTTTGGATGTGAAGGATTATCGAGCAATAACTCTCAAGATTACCTGGATCTAAGGGTTGGTCTCAATTCCCCCTTTTCGGGCGAGCCTCATAGCCTCGTAGCCTTGGCGGAGGCAGAAGGAGCAAAGGCATCACTCTACAAGTCTTAGAAGGCCCAAGGTCGAGCGATGCTGGATCCATGTATTGAGCAGCCGTCACTGCCATCACCATTCACGATTCACTATATTGGGGGAACGGAATTCCGTCAACGTGTCACACAAGAGGCAAGCTCTGTCGCCTTGTTGCCCCACGGTGCGGAAGCATGTCTGCTGTATAGGCGATTGAATCTGACTAAAAAAACAGCCATCTCTCATCGATATAACGCCTGCCGACTTACTTAGGCGACGAGTGCTAGAAGGCACTTGCCTACTGAGACGTGCCTTGGAGGTAGGCTACTTGAGGCAGGCCAGGCGAAAGTTATTTTGAAGGGAGGGTTTCTGGTTCCCACCGGCTTGTTGCTGTTACCGCACCACTTGTGCCAGCTGGATCTCGTCCTTGAACTCTTCACCACAGCTGACTACGTCCCAGTCCCTCAATCGCCAACGGAAGGTGTAGTGCTGATCCGGTATCAGGAGACAAGGACAGCCTTTTTCCACAAACATATCAGTACCCAACCAATTCGTCGAAATTCATTCACCAGAATCGCCCCAACATTCTCGCTGGGGCCTCACCTCGAGACATGTACGGAGGTCAGCACTATGCTACGAGAGAGCATCGAAGAAACTGCCTTGACTATTCTGTTTCCCTATCCGACACGTGTAAAGATCCGGCGGGTGTTTTGAATCGAGCAGCGAGTGACTACATCCCCAATTACACATGCAAAGTCCGGCTTATCATCCTGGCTTCCTGACACAGTACATTGATAAATACAGTCCTGTGACGGAGGACGAAAATAAGATCTTTGTTCGATTATCCTTGCACCACGAACAATTACAATGATCCTACTCCCCAGACTGTGATAACGTGATACTAGGCTGACACCGGGGCTAATATAAGAGTCCGATGGGACATGGCGCCTACTACGATGCGCCAATATGATAAGGCTGTCTTCAAGATGGCCCTCAAGTTTCGGCCAAGTCCTAGAATGCCTTATAAACCTGGTTCCATGTCTGATATATCCGGTCGCTCGACGCCCTTCTGAGGGTCTCTCTCTTGGGTTACGGTCGGAGGGTCGGAGGCGGCTTTGCGACAACCGACATACTGGCAATGGCAATAAGCATGAACTAGGCTTTTGTTCGACCGAACCCGCTCGCGAACTAGTCCGAAGGCGGTTATGACTTGCAACATGGCGTCAAATCCACCGTACAAAATACGAATCGAAGTTAGTGCCTTTCCGCTCCCGGAGCACCTATTGGCAAACAGGACTAACTTCGCTTGTTTGGACCAAAGGTTCCAAGCAACCCATATTAAATGCTGTCCGAGAAGCATTTATGGTGCGTCCAAGCACCGACTTGCCAGCTTTCTGCTGGTCACACCGTTTTGTCGGTTCAGAATCCTGAGTTATTCGCTCTTCTCATCATGGTCAAGTTGGATGTCGTCCGCAGCTTGGAAGTGTCCTTGGTCCAGCGTCAGCCTTTGGTAGCCGTTTTCTTTGGTGGAACAGGTGGTATAGGGCATTTTACACTTCGCGCATTGGCCGCTGCTGAGGCAAAGGGAGGCAAAGGGCTACGGGCATACATTGTGGGGAGAAACACAAAAGCAGCGGAAGACATTCTCGCCGACTGTCGTGGCATCTTCCCGCGAGGTCAGTTCAAGTTCATCAAGGCTGAAGACCTTTCTTTGATCCGGGATGTCGACCGACTTTGTGCAGAGATTATTCTGCTAGAGGAAAAGGAAAGTCAGAACCCGAGGATCGACTATCTCATGGTGTCTCAAGGAGGGATGATCTATCTTCCCCGGAAAGGTAATACCCGCATTGCCAGAGGGTATAGCTGCACTTCTGACGACCGCACAGATACGAAAGAGGGCATCGACGTGACGATGTCGCTCATGTACTACTCCCGGATGAGGATAATCACCAAGCTGCTCCCATTGCTTCTCAATTCTCACCTTCCCGCAACGGTCGTCTCGGTCTACGCAGCGGGGATGGAAGGGAAATTGTATCCAGAAGATCTGTCACTTCGCGATTTGAAACAATATGGCTACAACCAAGCCAGATCGCACATGTGCTACATGCACGTCCTGTTCATGGAGACCTTGGCCCAACAACACCCGGGCAAGCTCGCCCTGATCCACATCTTCCCGGGCCTGGTCGTGGGACCAGGCTACCACAGCCCGGAGCTGCCGAAATGGTTCAGGATACTGTTTCACTGGTTTCTCCTGCCCCTCTTCGGGAGGCTCCTGACCGTGCCGCCGGCCGAGTGTGGCGAGAGGATGCTATCCCTCGCGTCAGATCGCTATCCGCCGCGACCGGCCGACAGGTCCCAGAGTGGTCGCGATGAGGACCGGGGGGCCGTCGCTGGGACCGCAGGGACGCCCGGTAGTGGAGTCTACTCACTCACTTGGAACGGCGAGAACAATCTAAACGCAAAAGCGTACGAAAAGATAGACAAAGAGGAAATGAGGAGGAAGGTGTGGGACCATACCATGAGATGTTTTGAGGTCGTTGAAGCAGGCAACGTCTTTACTGAGTAAGGATGGAAAAGAGCAAGTTGTAAAAATCATGCAACGATTTCAGATTGAACGCTTCTAGGGGAATCGGTATCTATGCCCATCGATAAAGTGGAAGCTTTGACAGCCGCTCGTCTGCGATGGCGTATTAACCCCTAGCGGGATCCGGCCGCATTTGTCCTTCCCACAACTTGAAGCTCAATACTATTTTCCAATTCCTCAGCCCAGGGCTCCGACCGCCGGAACCGCAGAGGGGGTATGTGCATGCCCGTTCTGGGTCGTGGGTTTCAACTCGCAATAGATCTTGGTCGCTCTTTGCTTGGCCTCTCCAAAAGGTTTCATCTTCTTCGTGGTGCCGTCAACCTCGACGTCTTCCTCGTAGTCACCCGTGTTGAACTCGCAAACGATGGTGCTCTTGAACGGCGGAGGGGGCTGAGACCACACTTTGGTGACGGCATCGGCGAGGCATTCGATTTGGATGGCGCGGAACCCCATCTCGGCCGCATAGCGCATCAGGAATTGAGCCAGCGCCTTCATGATCCCCTTACCTTCGGCGTCGTGTCGGGTGCTGGTCGCGTTGCGCATCAGGAGTTGTTTCTCGGCTGTGGGTTTCCAGCTCGCCTCGTCGCGAGGATCTGATGACCCGAGCACGTGGTAGATTGTTCCAAATAGGGGGAGGCACTCGATCAAGGGCCCAATTTTCTCCATATCCAATTCGTTGAACCCGTCATATGCCAAAGCAACACTGACCAGCGGAAAGTCCATCTGGTCCTGGAGCTGATCTTTGTCCAGGGTCGTGTCCTTCATGTCCCAGTACAGCTTCCCGTTCGGCTTCGACTCCTCACGCTTGAACTGATACTCTAAATCGAAGACACCGAAACTGTGGCCCGAGTTGATCTGATGCCGGACCAGGTAGTCAGCGGCCTTGTAGCCCTGATAGATCCGCGCCGTCTTCTCTTCCGGGTAACACACTGGCCAAACCGGGGAATAGAACATATTCGAGTGGAGCACAACTGCCGCGGCCATCGGGAGATGCTCTTCCGTCAGTCTCCGAATTTCATAGCGAGAAGGGAGGGTTGTCGGGTTGGTAGCGGTTGCTGCTGATAGGTTCGTCATCTTGAAGACACCACTTTCTTTTATCATGGGAGAATCAGGGGACGATCGAGGAGATGATGGCCTTAACTGTGAGAGAAAGTGCCCACTGAGGAGAGAATTCGACTCTACATATAGAGTTGGATGTTGGCCACAGGGAGATAAATTATGCTCCAGCCCTGAGTTAGTATCAGCTTACCTCAACGTCGTACCTACACGAAGTGAATGTGAAGTCGTATGGAGGCCTAGCTCAGAATGAATGCAACGCAGCGTCATATAGATCCCTTATCTCGAACCTTTTGCCTTTGGAGGCCGCAATCTGACACCCGCGTGACAGACCATGCCGTTTACTGGGCGCAGGGTGACATTCCAGGCCATCGTGGATATATGGCCGAGATCGGCCATGTCAGCACAACTTGGGAGCTCTTTCTTTTGCCACTTTTTAGGCTTCCTATTCTCGGCGCGGGGGAGAGCCATCTGGCCGCCGCCTCGTTGGATGACATTCATATGATGTGTCCGGGTTGAGAGGACGTAGCCATCAGCTGGTTGGACCTATCATGGGCGGACACAGAGCAATTGACCGCCTACAATCCAAGTGTTGAGGCAGAAGAATCAAGCAAAGATATAGTGGTTTGTTGCCACTATCAAAGTGGGAAAGCTTGGTAAGCAAAGGACCTGGAAGTTAACCTGTGCGCATCTTATTACTCGCATCTGCAGGAACGCACATTCGGTTCTCAGTCGGTGCCCAGAACGCCACGCCAATACGCCTCCCAAATTTAGGCAATTTCGTGAAGCATAATTACTAGGTGCCTTGGTGTTCGTATTCGTGTAGCCTGATACAACGCATCGTACTCGGTACATTGACCATCTTGAGCATCTTCTCTCGTGTTTATCACAGCCTCACCCACGCACTAGTCAAAGTCTGCAGTCAGCCTTGAACGTCTGTCTTAGAGAGGCTTCCGTCTCTGACCCTGAGGAGCTGCTAGAGCTGCCTGAAGCGTGCCTCGCCCCCGAGTAAGCTTATCGATCCGGGGACGAGCAACCGATTCAGTCAATCAACCCCTCTATCAGTCAGTCAGTCGCCCCATCGACCCACAAGAGTTGAGCCGAATGATTCGAAATGTTCAAACGCCATGCAAACCATCGGGAAGAGGTTGGTCCCGGCACCAGCGCACAGTCTTCACAGCCCGAGTCCGGCCAACTTCAACTTCCTAGGGATGACCCCTTTGAGAATGTGCGGCTCTTTGCTCAATCACACGGACTCGCACGGCATCTGGACAGCTTCCACAAAGCCGCGGTCGTACTCGAAGGCCGAACTACTTTGGACGAGATCCCGCTCTCCGCGTCAGAGCTAAAAGCTTTGCGCGATGAGACGGAACGAAAATGGCGGCAACCAAAGATGCTGTATTTCACCATCTTGGTGTGTTCGTCGGGGCCATAGAACAGGGTTGGGCACAGACGGGCATGAATGGTGCCAACCTGTATTTCCCAAAGGCATTTGGCATCGGCTCGAATAGTAAACATGACACGTTCATTGTCGGCTTGATCAACAGCGGCATCTATCTCAGCACAGGAGTCCTGTGAGTTTGCCTGTTGTGGCCATCTAATTGACTTCCCGCCTTCTAATGTTCACAGAGGTGCCTGGCTCTCGGATCCGGTCAACAACTGGCTTGGTCGTCGTGGTGCGGTCTTCGTGGGAAGCATTCTCTGCTTCCTTGCCAACCTTGGGTCGTCTCTGAGCGAGACTTGGCCGCAGTTACTGATTTTCCGCTTCATCCTAGGTGGTGGCTTGGGGATCAATGCCAGCACCGTCTCTGTGTATGCCGCTGAATGTGCCCCCGCTGTGAGTTTACCCCTGTCTCTGAAGGATACATAAACCTTGACGCGGTGCCCACTGGTCCCCAGCCTCTCCCGTCGCCGTTGCAGACTAACACCTACGAAGGGGATCCGCGGCGGTTTGGCCGTGTCCTGGCAGATGTGGACGGCTTTTGGAATATTCGTGGGTTTCGTCGCCAATGCCGCCGTTCACAGCGTATGTTCCATGCTTCAGGTGCTCAATGGATCACAAAGAGAGGCTGATTTCCCTGACTAGTATGGCGACGACCCCTGGAGACTCCAACTGGCGGGTCCTTTCATCCCAACCATACCTCTATTGCTGATGTTGTACATGTGTCCCGAATCGCCAGCATGGTACTTGAAACACGGAGACCGATATGATCTCGCATTCCAGTCGCTCTGCAGGTTGCGGAGCAGCGGGCTGCTGGCAGCAAAGGAGCTGTACTCCTCGCATTTACAGAGGACAGCGACAATGAAGATGATGGACCAGGAAGAGATCTCCTTCTCCAGGAAGGTTTTGGATCTGTTCAGGGTACCTCGCATCAGGCGAGCTACTACCGCATCCTACGTTGTGATGCTCTCCCAGCAGCTGTGTGGCATCAATATCATAGCCTTTTATTCGTCAACAATCTTCTCAGACGCAGGATTCTCCGACTTCGGCGCCTTGGTGGCATCCTGCGTCTTCGGGTTCATCAATTTTCTCGGAGCTTTCCCAGCGATATGGACCATGGACACTCTAGGGAGAAGGTCGCTTCTCCTTCTGACCTTGCCACCCATGGCAGTAACCATGCTCGCGGCGGGATTGAGTTTCAACATTTCTGCCGACAATCCTGTGCACTTTGGACTACTTGCCACCTTGATCTATGTCTTCTGTGCCTTGTATTCGCCGGGGATGGGGCCGGTTCCGAACACCTATTCAGCAGAAGTCTTCCCACTTTCGCATCGCGAGATTGGCATGAGTTTTGCGGTGGCCACGGCGAACTTTTGGGCGGCCATCTTATCTTTGACATTCCCACGAATCCTCACGGCTCTCACGTCTCAAGGAGCCTTTGCTTTATACGCAGGACTGAATATTGTGGCCCTGGTTCTAGTCTTCCTCTTCCTACCAGAGACTCGCTTGAAGACACTCGACGAACTGGATGACGTCTTTTCCGTTCCTACGAGGACATTTGTGAGGTATCAGACGACCGAGTTCTTACCCTGGATTGTGAAACGATACGTTATGCGAGACAAGGAAGTTGACCTCCCCCCACTGGGCTTCGATGAAAGGTATCAGGAGCTCGAACAAGACGAAGACGACCGAGAGACATAAGCGCAAGCTCCGGCCACAATGGGACGCTACAAGACATTTGCATGGGCCATACAGTGTCGAAATCCCAGTTGAGGTGGAGGTTGCTCTGTTTTGGGTTCGTCTCCGAACAGCAATGCTCCGCCGTAGAAGCCCCACTGATAGCGGTCATTTTTTGGGGGCCAGGTGCGACTTTCTTCTTTCGGCTCGACGTCGTCGGCCTCCTCCGACCAGCTTGGGACCTAGCGGCAGCATATTTATTCATCTCGTCTGCATCGCTGAGACTCTGCGTCGCAACATACCTTCCCGCCCCATACTCCGTGCAGCACAATGGCTTCTCCCATCACCTGCCACGTCCTCAACACCTTGTCTGGGACTCCGGCGTCCGGCCTCAAAGCGACATTGACACTTCTCTCGCCCAACGGCAGCACACCTGCCCAACCTCCAGTCAGCTTCGCTGCCGTCACAAATGAAGACGGTCGTGTCAAAGATTGGGAGCAATCTGCCGGCAGGAGTGTGTTGGATGTTATGGAAGGGTACAGCCACGGAGAGCGAATCGCTTGGAGCATCAAGTTTGAGGTCGGTGCGTGGTATGAAGAGAAGGGCGTCGAAAGCTTCTGGCCCGAGGTCGAAGTGAAATTCTATGTTAAAAAGGGCGAGCGGCATTACCATGTGCCCGTATTGGTCGGACCATGGACCTACACGACCTACAGAGGATCTTGAGGTGCATCTCCCGACGCAGGATGCTTTGTTTGTTGCACCGCTAAACGGCCTCCCCCACCGCAACCCCGGTTTTTTACTTGAGGTACAGCAATCGCCAACGCTGTGTACCGCTCGAGAATCGAACGCTCTGCATTAGACTCTGCGGCGCCAATGAACCTAGGGCGTTTTGCATTTCTGCGACGCAAGGGCTAAAAACCCTAGAGCTGCCTGCCACGCATCTCTAGTTCCACCGTACCCGCATATACACATACTCCGTACAAGGCTTCCCAAAACGCTAACCGACCTGCAAGACTCTGACGAATCCGATTTCCATTCCTCCATACTCGAAAATACGCACCCACAATTCCCCAGTCCTCATTCAGAGCGCTCGCTCATCGAGGCAATCAGCACGCAGCTTTCCAGTGCATGACTTGGAATCTCTGACTGGACCATTTTGTGGTCCTCGTGACACCCAGCAGACCAGCAGCGGGCCCTTCGGCTTTTGGAGAGTCGAGAATTTTTGGTTGACAGAGAGGTCATGTGGCCTTTTCTGATGAAATACTTTTTGCAGCAAGACGCTTTCCCGCCCATTGTGACGAATGGTCACCGAGAACGCTTGTAATGAGATGCAGAAGCGTGTGAGGGGTTGTGCCTCCGACTGACACCGATGGTGACAATTTCGTTGATGTCGCAGTCCTCGTCATCGGTGCCGCTGCTGGCCCTGTTGGACATGCGCATGGTCTGCTGCCTCTCGTACTGCTCAGATTGCCTTTTGAGGTCCTCTATTTGCTCCTGTGGACTGCCGTGAGAGGCTTGCTTCCGGTTGATGCTTCGGTCGAGGCTTACCTTGGTCAGCTCGGGACCATTGATGAGGAATCCCTCTCGACCCTAACTTCCCGGTCAGCTTGTGCCCCCGTGGTCCCCGGAAGAGACGCTCATACACGATATGAATACGGCCTCACAGTGGCGGAGGGGCCCAAGAAGTATTGCAATTGTCGAAGCACAATATGGCGAGACAGGCCATAGCCTGATATCCAGTAATCCCGTGGTGGGCTTGTTGGTTGAGGCATTTCGGGTGTGAAGATGGTGGTTGCAGTGGGGCAGAGCAGACACAAAACGGATATAGGTTGGGATCGAGGAAGTCGACAAAAGGTATCAGCTCGAAACCGAGGCCACCGGACCTATCTAGATGTTGGTTGTGAATGTATTGCCATGGTAGAGTCGAGAATACAGTCGATGGCGAGAGCCTCGATCGAGATATAAGGCTTTCGGAAGAGGGGGTACTAACCAGTGCGTATCCAATGGCCGTTGTGTAGAGACAAAGAGACGGAGATTGGTTCCCCCAGCATTTTGGTGCTGGGACGCGTTGGGAGGCAGAATTCCAATCCAGCTTGTCATGCAACTCATGCAGCACTTGGACTAATGGCAACCGAATGGCCGCCTCGCATTCGAGCAAATGGATGAGGTCTTTGTCGCCTGTTGCCCGCCAGCCAATCACAGCCGACGCCTTCCCTCGCAGCTTCAAGGTGCGTCGCCTCACTTTGACCTCCTCTCGCTCCAACCGCCACCCCGTCGTGTCCAGCGCCGCTTCATCGACTCACCAACACTCTCACCATTGCCCACCACTCTTCTCCCTCTGGTCCCTACTCTCCGAGATCACGCTATCGAGGCGCTCGCTCAACCTTAATCTGTGCCTGCTGAGGCTGCAGAAACACGCCAATTCCTGCACACGTGTCCCGGGGCACGCCTTCGGGCTTTCAAGAGGGGGGGCACAAGGGGGGGTTGCCTGTGCTGGCTTTGGTGGCAAACAAAATGAGAGCCGCTGCCAGTGGCACCATGTCCGATCGACAACAACTCTTTCATGCGACTTCTCTAGGGCCCAAGTGCTGGCCAGGCAGTACCCGCGAGCTATCTTAGGTACTGTACACACAGAAAGAAAGATCCGAACAACGATCAGCAATGCACACAATTCAACTTAGCAGCCAGCGGCATCAGCGGAGGCGACCCTGACTGAAACCATGAACCCTCAAGCCCTGAGCCTCGGCGTCGGCGGCAACCCCCTTTCTGCCCCCTTCTGCAGTGGCTCAGAGTTCCCACAGGCAATAGTCTCATTGCAACTTTCTGCACCATGCAATGCTATGCGGGACTACCTATGCAAGCAAAGCTCTTTTCTCACACCGCTCCGTCCTCTTGACCTCCAGGCGCAAATACCGCCCTCCGAATCCAGAGTCGATTCACCTTTGCACACGTGGAACATGGTAACGGCCTGGTCCACCTTTCCTAGAATGTCTGGGTGCTGTGGCGGAGTTTCATTTCTCGTATCACCTTTGTTTCCACAAATTCATCTGACCGGTGCACGCCAGGCCCAATAGTCCTTGAGGCTTTTCAGAAAATGCGCCCTTTCTCGAGCCTCTTACGAATCGTCGAAGCTATGCAAAATGCATCCTTGGAATCCAAGTGGATATTATTATTGCCTGCAAGCTTTCCCAACACCACTCAATCCGCCGAACATTGGGGTCAGCCAAGCTTGATTGGTAGCATTTCTGACTTTTCGACCGTTGTCTGAAGGCCCCCAAGGTTGCCAACTGCTCCCAGTTCCCAGCTGATGGTCTGCTCGATCAGAGTGTCAATTTTCATCTTACAAGTCCACCCATCAAATGTTGGCCGCTGCTGTCTGAGAACTGGCCCAATTCATCTCCAAGACAAAACACACGAAACCTGTTCACGGGGAAACAAAAGTATCATGGTACGTCATTCTGGCGCGCCACCGGCTTGTCTGTGCCCTGAAACTCGGTACATGGGAATTGGGCCCGAGTAATCGCGCTCCCTCTGCGGGGTGTCCAATCCTGTCGCTGCGACACACTCCTTGACGCCAACTGGCTGTTGTCCATGACCAAAGATCAACCCAGGGAAAGCCTGAACACCGATCCAATCAAGAACTGCAAGGCTCCCTTTCTGGCCGATCCCCACCGAATTGAGAACAAGCTTGGTCTAGGAGCTTTTATCGTTGGCCCAAATTCGGTTGACGGACAGAGACTCGATATCGCACATTATCGATCTAACCAACTGCCGAATTGTCGCGTCGAAGTTCGTAGGGAGGGTGATCTTATCTTCGAATAGTCTCGCCCTTCGGCTGCCCGACAATCATTCTCCATTCAAGGTCGACAACGCCCGTGCATCTTCCCCCAGCAGGGTGTCCCCCCTCCGAAACATCTTTGGCGACTACGGCGATCACTTCCGCAATCATAACCGATACCACGGTTCTGGGAGATATGAGTGACACTCTGCATGATCTTGCTGCACCCAAGGTGCGAATCTACCCGCTCCTACCCGCACCCTGCGTCTCCGGCGTGTCACCTCGGACGAATTGCCAACCACAATGGTACCTTCCCGTCCAACTCAGATTCGTGGATGTCTGAGTTCTGCCCCCTTATAATATCAGCCTGACTAGTCCCTGTCACAATGCCTCACTCTCTCCTGATCGTCCCTGGATCGACCACGGTTGCATGAAATGTATGGGGCATTCAGCCATCTAACCTAGACGTCTTCTACCCTCCTGAGTGACCTCGACGCTGATGGAAACAGGGGGGATGAGTGGACATGAACACTTCTACTATTCACGATAACATCCAGAAGTCAAAGTCAGACCACCTTTCCAAGGTTTGAGGCAAGCAACGGATTGGCGACGGCATACCCCCCTCAGCTTCAATATCCTATCTTGTCAGGCAAACTGTGGCACCATATCAGTCTCTGTGGACTTACTAATCTCAACTGGCTCTATGTGAGGACTCGAGGCCTGGAAGAGCTTTGCGGTTACTGCAATCACAACTGAAATTGAGGACGTGATACTCGCAACAGCGGGCCCTCGAAGTGATTGGTTTGTTGGGTTTGAACTTAAAACGGCCTCTTGAACAACATGCTCGGGAAGTCGATCTCCGCGTGTGGGAGTGCGGCTGCACCTGTGGGCGCCAGGTTAACCGCTCTGATAGCAAGGCACCAATCCCAACGGACTAGCTAGATCTTCTTGGCCTCCATGTCCAGTTCCGTTTCTGTGCCCGGTTGCTGCCATCCGACATAAGACCACATCTGACACCATGTCAGAAATAGGGTACCACTAATCCAAGTTGCTCGCAGACCTAGGACTGAGCATGTACTTGTCTGGCACTGCAACAGGACTAACTCGATGACTTCCAGCCTCACTCTACCATTCGTCTACAAAGGTCCTCTGGAACTACCAATGTCGAATGCACACCCAACCAATCCGAGAAAAAGGCCTTCTCATACCTGTCAAGTGTCGAGCCTGTCAAAGCGTGCGCCCGCCC